TCCCATAATTTTTAAAACTTCAAGGAACTCAGTTAAAATTAATTGCTCCCTCCTCTGACATGGCATGTCATTTTAGATTTTACTAAAAATGATCAGTCTGACTCCTATTATCATTTAGGTACTTACATGCAAATTAATAACATTTCTGTTCTTTTTTGTTTTTATACCATCTTCACCAGGAGATAGTTTTGAGGGTCACTCTTTCTACTGGTACAACCTCATGGATGTTATTACAAAGCAACATCTAATTAACCTTTCCATAGTATGCTTCCACTTCTAAATAAGAAAGACATACACATTTCAGAATATCTGGGATTTTCCCAGATACATCACAAAAAAACTGCAGAAGAGAGGCTTACAAAAATTCTAAAGTGCCATTTAAAAAAAAAGAAAACAAAAACCCTACATTGTAATAATAACAGCCCCTCAAATATTTGAAGGTAACTGTGCATTGTCAATATTAACTCAAGAACTAGGAACTAATCTGCCAGAAAGCCTAGTCAAGTCAACGAACATTTGGATTAATTCTTGTTTGATATTATAAATCAAGTATATTGGTTATTATTTCTTGCCTCCTTATGAATAGAGAAAACCAAACTTCTCGATAAACGGTTTACAATGAAAATGAGTAAGAATTACCATTCAACAAAAACCTGCTGAAAAAACTCACTGCCGTCGAGTCAATTCTGATTCACAGCGACCCTATAGGACAGAGTAGAACTGCGCTATAGGTTTCCAAGGAGCGCCTGGTGGATTTGAACTGCTGACCTTCTGGTTAGCAGATGCAGCTCTTAACCACTGAACCACCAGGGTTTCCCAATCAACTAAAGCACCAACAACATAATTTTCTTGCATGAGTGAGGCCATCTGGCTCAGTTAATACATTTTTTATTAGTCATTACTGGCTCCAATCTTTGAACTTTTGTCACAGGGCCTACTTAAAAGTTGGTCTAAAGCGTGACTTAGATTTACCTTTTTGCAAATTTAATTATTTTTATGTGCTCATAAAAGTGATATACATTACTTGCTGAAAATAGGGAAACAGGAGAAAAGTACCGTTACACATAAGACAACCAATTAGATATCTCACAGCACTTTCTTCTCTTAAAATGTATAAATATACTTTTTCAAAATAGCAGAATCACACTGTACATACAAGTTTCATATTTAGTTATTTACTGTTTCACCTACATTTATCAACTACTTTTTGGCTATGGAAAAAAGCACTGTATACATGTGTTATAATCCATCTAACATCCTTATTTTTGAATTTTCACTGTTAAATGATCTGGGAGAACATCTTTGTAAATCTATTTGCATCTGATTCAATTTCCATGTGAGAAATCCTCAGAGGCGTAATTAATGACGGAGTATGACCATTTTAAAGGTTTCTGGTATTTACCGTTAGGTCTCTTCTAAAGTGGTTACACCCATTTAAACTCCCAGGATCACCACATTTTAAAAAAAACAAACAAAAGCCTTTTCTAATGTAGTATCAGAGAAAAAGAAATGAGGGGGACATTCTTTGCTTCCTGTTGAGGTTGCGATATATTTTCAGGAATTCATTATTATAGATACTTTTCATTCTACTTGTGTGAATAACATCCCTTACACTTCTCAGGCTTCTGTTTTCTATAGGGGAGTTGGTTTTCTTTATTGATTTGTAAGAGGTCTTTGTATCATTCATTCACAGTTACAATGTTCAAGAAATCTCCCCCTTTCCCAGGGTACTTTCTTCTCCAACTTGTCTTTTCTCTAATCTGCTTTCAAAACCTCATCTCCCATTACTTTCCACACATACTTCTTACTACATATAAAGCTGGATTATCACAATTACTGCTACTTTTCCTGCCATCCCAAAAGATCTCACACATTCTTGCCTTTCTTTCTTCCATTCTGCTTCCCAAAAGATCTTTACCTTGCTTCATTTCCTCTCATACTTTGTCCTATTCCTAAATTTAATTTTTAACTATCCATTCAAGGCTCACCTCAAGGGCTATCACTTCTAGAAAGGTTTCCCAGGCCACTCCAGGGCAATATAATTTATGTCAATAATTTCATATTGCCCACATCACTCACCAAATTTTTCCATATTATTAGTTAACTTCTCCTGGAATTGACCTTGTCTCCCAACTGATGGATTAATTAAGAGAACTTAATGCCGTCTCCAGTTTTATCTTCAAATTGCTCCAAAATAGAGATTATGTGAATAGTTAAGTTTGGCCACATCCTCCCCTCCCCTTCTAGGGGCTACAGCGCTTCATATTCTTCTTGCTTTTTATAGTACATACAATAAACTGTACATATTTCTAGCATATTATGTTATGAAGCAAACAGAACCACTGGTTAAACTAGAAAAACTACCACCACTGAATACCCAGAAAGTCCCAAGCCATCTGTAACTTCTGTAAGTGTGGCTCACAGGTAAACTGAGAAGGCTGTCAGAGGGATATAAGGAAGCTCAAGCTATCCCTAGGCATCCAGCCATCCACACCAGGATCATAAGTGATCAAGATCTTAGCACAGCATCCACGTTGAGGAGCTCTGCTCTAGAAGTCACAATCTGTCATTCCAGGCCACCCACAAACTAAATCCTCTGTACCTATCTCTTGTCAGGTCCTAAAAAGAATTCTAGTCCAACCTGCTTGGCAATTATGCTTCAATGTTTAAAATATCAGTCATATTGTTCCTCTCTTCTAGAATGTCCATGCCTCACAAACAAGACTGTATTTATCCTTCAAAGATCAAATCAAGATTCACTTTCCATGCTGCTTTCTCCTACCTGCACTAAGATGCGCTAGTCATATGGAACACTAAAAAAACATGATCACGTATTTATGAGCACACATTGATATACCTTGACTCCTCATGCATCTCACATTCATATCACTTTTTCTACCTCAGTAGATTTTAAAGTCTTTTATCAGGAAAGCAGGATTTCATCTTCTCCTTCCACTGTAGCCTTCAAAATAACCAGGACAGTGATATTCAGGAAGAATGGATCATGCTATGTGCTCACTAAATTGCCTGGGGTATCTGCACTATTGTCCCTAATCTGGAGCACACTATTTTCAAAAGACCATGCTCTAGAACCAACTGCCCCGTTTTATCTTTTGACAATCAATCATGGGACACAATCTTTATGGTCCTCCTTCGCCTGCACCCCCAGCGGTATGCGCTGTTAATAAATTAGATCCACTCATATCTTTTTCTGTGCATTTATGAACCTTATGAACCAGTTCAAACCAGTTACGTCATGGCCGACGAAATGAAACTGCAACAGACTGGAAGTTTTAAACTTTGGGTGATCTGGAACAATAACTCTAACAGGAAATATTACGGGTCGAAGCCCTGGAATGAGAGACTCAGAAGAGGCAGAGTGAACCCTTTCAGGAGCCTAATGCATGAGACTGGATTACTGGTGGTAAGCAACACACAAAGCCATGTGGTCAGCCGCCATCTTTAAGCGGGGCACCAGTTTCTCACTCTGCTCAAAATCTGACACACAAGATGAATGGTTGCTATGCAATGCTTATGCTGCTCTTGCTCTCTGTAAGTTTCCAGCAGGGCTTCAATCAGTTATTTTTCCCATTCTGGTTCACGCAAATTTTGAAAATTCGGGGCTGTTCTGGCTTCGTTCCTAGCCATGACTGAACTGGGAAGAACCGATTCGAAGCCCTGTTATAAACATAGCCACACAATTTTTTTTAAAGCCATGTAAGTGGATCTTATTTATAACTTTTTTATTTTCAATCAACAATAATAACTTAGAGGAAATGTCTTCTTTTTTTAAAAAAAACCTATATTTATTTAACACTAGACAAACTTTTCTAGACCTCTCTCTAGAAACAACAGTCCCTCCTGGGTAAAGTCTTCATTCCTGGGCACGAAATATCACTAACTTTCCATCCAAAAAACTTTTCCTTGTAATCCCTAGCCATCCCCTTTGGTTTTTTGCAGTATTTATATCTACAGTCCCTTAATTCTAGCTTTCATCTTCCTCACACTGAGACTACTTCAAAGAAATTTCACATTCTTAAACGGTAAAACTCTTTAGACTCCAAAAACTTTATATGTGCTAAAAAATACAGAGAAATATTATTATATACAAAAACTGATGTGGAAGAAAAATAAATACAATATGGATCAGTCCTAAATGTTACCTCAACGTTCTTGTATTAGCTTATTACAACTTAAAATTGCTCTGTATGTAATCTCTTACATCACTCTTTACCATTTCATAATTACTTAAGTCTCTGTATTCCTTGCTAGCTTATAAACTAGAAATAAGAAACAGAATTTATTAAGTCTGGTACACTGTCAAAAATATACTATCTACTTATTCTGCCTGTGGTTAATGCACTTGGCTGCTAACTGAAAGGATGAAGGTTCAGGTCCACTCAGAGGTGTCTCAAAAACAAAAAAAGGCCTGGCAATCTACTTCCAAAAGTCAGCCACTGACAGACCTACGGGAGCACAGTTCTACTGACACACCTGGAGTTGCCATGAGTCAGAATCGACTTGACAGCAACTGGGCTTTTTTTTAAACTGGTACCTTTTTTTGTCTAGTGGTTGGTAATAATTCAACTAATGTGAAGTGAAATGTTACCTATTAGCTGGTTTAAGTACCTCCAAGCTTTGGTGTTTATTGTCTGGTTTTGTTTTTGCTTTCTAGCAGAGAAGTATGAACGGAGTTAGAAGAAATTTAGAATAAGGGATGAGGAAATAAAGAGTTATTACAATTTCACCTCAGGAAACCCGTTTTAAACCACAGGAAATTTCGGCATTCCCTCCACATTAGAGATAAGGAAATTTCTGGATGCCCCCCAAATAAACTCTTCTGGTAGGCAGCAGCTAAAATCTAGTCAACTACTCCTCCTCTTGCCCCAAGCCTTTAAGGTAGCCCTGAAAATTAAGTCAAAATACAGAGCACGAAATCATCCCAGAGGATGTGAAAAAGAATACAGCAAGTGGAAAATACTTTTGTACTGTACACTTACCAGTTTGGCTTGTGCTTCTGCAATTTTTCGGTTATTCTCTTCCAGTATTCGCTCCAGCTCCTCACGTTTTGCACGTTCTTCCTCCTAAAGGGGAGGACAGGTTAAGATGTTAGAAAAATAAAATGTTTATTTTTATTGATAAATATTTACTATCTTCCTCTGAACTTTTTTGATCTGACTTACAGGGTAGCTTTATAGCTACCTCTGTCTGACAAATGATAAACTGTGCAGCTACTAAAATTGGTTTCTAGCACTAAATTTAAATCATCCCTCCCAGTCCAAACAGCAACCAACTAAACCCTCCCTAATGATAGTTTCCTGGCAATTATTACTAATACTTTAATATCACACAAATCAACAAGGACAACTACAAAACTGGAATAGTATTTACCAAATTAAAAAAATAATACATAAAATATAAATAAAGTGAATATTTGTCTCACCAATTATGTATACCTACGTATTCTTTACCTATACTCCTTTAATCAGCATTAAAAGTTGAATATTTACTGTCTTGTCCAGTGTCCTGCAGAGTGTGCTCCTCGGCTGCCATACGCGCCAGCTTCCTCTTTAAAATGATTTGTACTGTTAGCTTGGCAATACCTGCATCAGCAGCTCAACCATTTATAAAGAAACAACATACAAGGAAGGCTGAGCTGAGGAATGCAGATGTTTATGGTAAGAAGGAACAAAAAAATGTAATTCATCATTCCTAAGGCAAACAATTAATAAGAAAAATACATTTACTGTTAGTGAAAAATACAAATGGTAATCCATACTTCATGGAACTAAGGGCTTCTTCCATGGGGAAAATGGACTTAACATTCAGATGTTGACAATTTCAATTTCTAAAGGCAGCTTATATTGTCATCTACAGTCTGAACTGTAATTCAGGAATCCAGGGGATGCATGGTCAGGAAATAAAATTCTGTAATTTATTTTTTCTTGGAGAATTTTAATGAGGTTTTATAATGCAAACTATATGAAGACTGCTTGAGATTTGGGCAGTGTTCAGATCACAGCATACATATTCAAATGGTTTTAGTATTTGGGAAGACTGTCAGAGGGTTGTGTCCGTGTTAAAAAAAAAAAACAAAAAACTGTTAATATGAAACAAAAAGCAAACGAAGAGAAAAAAATCTTACTATGATTAATAACTCGCTACAAGACAGCACCATTACTCCAAAAATATCTTCGTTATTAAGCACTGATGTAAAAATTTCATACATTCAATTTTACAGAGCCTGTGAAATCCACTATAAACAAAGACATATATATCTAGTCAAAGACAGCACAAAGAAAAATGCATTTTAAAAGCTAAGCTTACTGGAAAGCAAAGAGATTTAATATCATGTCAACTTGTCCACAATAATGCCGAGGTTAAAAATGACAACGAGTCATATATTTTGAGTAAAAATATTTAAGTTCAAGAACACATTACTACAGGATTTTCTACGGCACACACCAATAGAATTCATAGTCATTTATGCAAACTATGCTGAGGGACACTCAGTGCTGTAAAATAATTTGCCTTGAGTGTTTCAATGACTTTCAGCAAGTTTTAGGATCCTGGAGTAATTAGTGCAAACAAGCCATAAAGCTTCAGTAGCAAATTACTGTCTCACAGAAAGACATTTTCAACTTCTGCTCCAGCTGCTGATAAAACAAATCATGTGTTTAGCTTGACTCCAGACAAGGACAACCTGTTCCTTCATAACTCTCTAGAGAAAAAAAGGAGTTGTTAGTAGATACTAAAAAAGTGGATGAATAACCTGGACATTTTTCCTAAAAAGATTTTTTGAAACAACATTAGGAAAATGGAGGGACTTATGATCAGAATGCTAGAATTAGTCCATTGTGCTGAAGCAGGGTTTAGGGAAGGAGGTGAGGGATAAAAGGAAAAAAAGAAGAGTAAGAAAACCTATTTATCAAAAGCAGGTGCTGTCACTCAGTGTTAGGCCCTGCTCTTTTTAATCTGACTGAAGGCAAAGAGCCTCTCACAGTCTAAGTAACAGAGTGATAAACAGAAAAGAATATGAAACCACAGGTGGATTTTAACTTTTCCCCTTTACCACTCCCTGTCTCCCCACACCCTCCCAAAAAAGAAATGTAAGTCCTGCAGCCATGGCAAAAGTTTCAAACACTTCTCAAATATGTAGGCCAGTTCCATTAAATCAAAGTGTTCCTTGAATATGTTTTACGAAAATAACTTTGAAGCTTCAGTCAGCACTTCTGAATAGGCTAAAAAATTAACTTTCGCAGCAATGTAAGTTTAGATGAGAAAGGAATGAGATAGTCTGTATTCCATCTCTTTCTGAACTGAGCAGGAGGTACAACCCGACACTGAAAGTTTTGCCATGGACTGTCTCTACTTTCCAAACGACCGAGCGTTACCTCTCTAGCTTTTTGTGCTGCAAGCTCAGCTTGTCTCTGTCGCTCGAGTTCTTCGAGCAACTGCTTTTCCATGATGCGCTTGGCTTCCTCCACCCTTCGGAGAACTTCTCGCTCAATCTCATCCTTCCTTTTCTCCAATTCTTCCTCTACCCTCTTTGCCACCAACTCTTCCACTCTTCGTGCTGTCTCTTCCTCGATGAGCTTTTCTTCTATTTCCTGCTGCCGACTGGCAAACAAAGTTGAAAAAATAACTTAGATACTGTAACAAATAAATCTAAGAATTTCAATTTCAGCAAAACTAGTTGTAAGTTTATAAAACCACTGAACCAATAAAACCACTGATGATATATTTTAATGATTCTAGAATTCATTTTCATGCAGCATTTAACGAAATAATAGATACCAAGATGGTAAGTGATATAGAAATTCAAATAAATATGAAATCATGTTTCTTTTCTATCATTTCCTAAATACAAAAAGATGGTTACATACAAAGAACTTACTTCTTAAGTTTTAATTTAGAAACTGTAGATAAATCTAAAGTAGGAAATCTACTTTTGTTACCAATTTTATGAGAGGACAAGCTGTTAAAATATGTGATTTGCTCATTTGCCAATCCACTCAATCTAAAGGTTGAGCTACAGAGCAGTCAGGAGACATTACCACATAGCAGGCAGTTCAAACTGGCTACTCAGGTTTCTTCTCCCCCTAAAGCAATGATGGAACCCTGGTGGTGCACTGGTTAAGAACTTGGCTGCTAACCAACAGGTCAGCAGTTTGAATCCACCAGCTGCTCCTTGGAAACCCTATGGGGCAGTTCTACTCTGTCCTATAGGGTTGCTATGAGTTGGAACTGACCTGACAGCAACGGGTTTGGTTTTGGTAAAGCAATGCATAGAACAAACAGTAGATTTGGAGAGATTCAGGCTCCTTTTAGTGAAAATACAGACCAATTCATTCTGGCTCTGAACTTTATGCTATACCTTCTTTTCCTTTTGTTAATTTTCAATTAAAAGCTCCTCCAGAGATGAGAAACTGGGTGAAAATGTATTTTTTTAAAATTATCAATTCTATTAAAAAGTTCAATGAAGTGTGATACTATTAATTTGATTATTGCGTCTAGTCCAAATTGAAGATTTAATATGAAGAATAATATAAAAGACCACATAAATATTTGATTACAAAGTAAATGATGATTTTGGGTACACTGGGAATATATTAAAATTAATTTCACAGGTTTCTTTTTATCTTTTTAATGTAATTATTGGAAAAATTTAAATTACATACATAGCTCACATAATATTTTTATTGGACAGCAATGTTTTAGACAATCAATAATTCGTGGTAAATGAATGAATTCAGAGACTATGGAAGTACACCAATTCCTCACTTACTGACATGGTTAGGCTCCAAAATGAAAATTGGTGTTATGTGAAAATGGAGGATGACCACATCAGATTACAAAATGGAGGGTGGTTACATTGTTACATAACTGCCAAACCACTGAGAATCATGGCCCAGTCAAGATGACACATCATCTTAACCATCATAGCCAGCGTTACTCTCGCCTCACACCTCAGCATTCATTACTGCCAGACGTATGCTGTTAATGCACGAAATACTCGGACGGATTTACTATTGTCATAATTGAAAAATATCAAATACCTAGACAGTTAAGTGAGGAGTAGGTGTAAATCTAAATCCTCAGAGGCCAATTTGTTTCAACTTTCTCACAATCGAAAAAATTAAAAATATATAACACATTTATAGGTTTTGATGACTCATCTGACACACACATATGTGACAGTCACCTATTTATCTATTTGGTAAAGACTGAACTGGAATCGACTCAACAGCAACGGGGGTGTATAGTTTCTAAGTGACCTTTAAACACTCCAAACCATTTCAGCTCAACTCCTTTTTTGGGGGTGATCCAATTCCCACAACTGCTTTCATTCTCAACTCCTGCTGTCTATTCACAGTGATACCATACTAACACTAAGGTAGCTTCAACATTCTGATTTATTTCAGTTTCTACATTTATCCTCTCTACATTCTTCTGCCAAGTACAGTAGCTTCTTGACAAAGCCTATTTTTCCTCACTGTTTTGTGCTCATGGGTACTTCGAGGGACCAAGTACCTTTTCTGCCTCTGAAGGTTTATTGGGAAGCTGGTGCATCAGTGACAGTGAGTGCTGCCACAAGGCAAGGGCCTTTATGACTGTCTGAAACCAAAGAAACAGGTGTGTGCTGCAAATTATTGTTTTTACAGGGTATTGTACGAGGTGTCTGAGTTTTTGGTAGGAATAACAGAAATTTTGAAAATTTTTACTTGTTACACATACGTACCGACAGACCCCAGTAGGGACTCTGAGGTACAATTAGTGGTACTTCATATGTACCATTAAACACTTAGCGAAGGCTTGTGGGAAGGGGTAAGAAAAAGAAAATCCATACTACCTACCAAAAATTCAGACACACTCAATGATTCAGCATCCTTCCATTAATGAAAACACATGGTATCAACAAAAAATTCAAAATAGAAAATACTTGGTTCATGAAAAGACTATAGAAAATTATATAAAAAGTTTTACATAGTTGCAATACCCATTTCTAAGGATTCTATTGCTTATTTCTTAAATACTGCCTACCAGATTTACTGGCAATTTTCATTTTAAAAAAAAGGATATGAAAGCCTAAACTTACTCTAAGTGTGCTCCTTTTCCTTTTAAACTTCCAGTCAAATACAGTATTAAGAGTTGTTTCAATTAAGCCTTTATCTATAAACCAAAAACCAAACTCAAACCCATTGCCGTTGAGTCTATTTCAACTCACAGTGACCTTATAGGACAGAGTAGAACTGCCCCATAGGGTTTCTAAGGCTGTAAATCTTAACACAAGCAGACTGCCCACCTTTCTCCCATGGAGGGACTGGTGGGTTGGAACCACCAAACTTTCTGTTAGCAACCAAGTGCTTAACCACTGTGCAACCAGGGCTCCTTTTATCTATAGCAGGCTCCATTTAAGAGAGCAGATAGCTACCCCAACACTAAAGATACATCACCAACACTATCTAAAGGAAATCAAGCAGCAATTTCCACGGAAATTAAACTACAGATCTAATGAATATTTCAAATATGAAAAGGTTGCTTCTCTGTTTTACCCAAAGAGAAAGAGAAGAGTGATAGATAAAATAAGTAAGGCTAAGTTTGGCCGATAGGTATGCAGGACATTGTAATGGTCCATCTACTTTTATATATGTTGGAAGGTTTTTATAATAAAAAAATTTTAGAGTACACACCCCCCACCATACTTTTGCTAGTTGGTTCTCATGAAATCAGTAAATGTAGAGAAGTCTAAGAAGAAACTAAAATTTTCAAAAACAGTACAATTCAACTCTTAATCAATGCTAAGTGGAGCACAGAATTGACAACTCAAAAGGAGAATGTAAAAACAATTCCGATTAAAATTTTCCACACAAAATGGAAAAAGGAGGGAAAAAACTAGGATAAGGTCTTAGGTTAGCTTATCAGTAGAAAAGTTGCCAAATTAACTCAAGATTTTGTTAAGGGAAGAAGAGGTCTCACGCATATTCCAAGCTCTGCCAAGCAGTCCCTAAGCACTAACACCAGCAGAACGGCTAGCAGGGCCACACTTCTGTAAGATTTGGTCAGTCAGGAGACAAGCCTAAATGAGTCCATAGTTTCTCACAGCAAAAGCCAGGTCTGCATGGTGTCACCTCCCTGTGTGTCTAGTCCCACAGATCAACACCGAACCACAAGGGTCAGATGACAGGCAGCCAAGGCAGTGAGGTGCTCTAGCGAGGAGCCAATTCTAACTGCAGCTCAGACGTTTTACAGCCCAAAGGGGAGGCAAATGCCATAGAAAACCCCATGCTCAATTGAAAATAGAACAATGAAAATGGCCTTGTAGAGTTTCTCACAAGGCTACTTATCTCCCTTTATTCCTGGAGGAACCACAGGGCATCCCGCCATGACTCCAGGCGGACTGCAATTAAGCCTTGCTGATGTGTCTTATGCGGAGACACACAAGGTCAGGGCGGCACAACAGTACTCTTCCCCTACAAGTATGAGCAAGAATGTAATTTTTGTTATTGCTGCTATTTTGGTAAGGTTAAACTGCTACTCCCGTAATCAGGAAAAAAACCTTCTAATCAATTTTTAAAGCCAGCGCTGAAAAAGTTAAAGCTCAATACTACCACTCTACCACATATAAAATTCAGAAAAATAGTGGGCAACATGTACAGCTGAATTAAGCATGAGTTCATCTTCAATGACAATCTCTCATCATAATCAGTGATAAAGCAGCTGTTAGGCTAACTGCTGTTAGATGCACCGAAACTTTCTTGAGAAAAGAAGAAGCTTTAGGTCATTAGTCTTGTACAAAAGATCTTTCACCTAATACTGTTCGCTCTCTGCTTCTTACAACTACTACAGGAGCTGCCACCCACCCCCATAATGTTCTTTTATTTCTCCCATCTTCTCCTCAGCCTCCCTTGCTGAATCTATTCATTTGCCAAGAATCTGTAGTACTGTTGAAAGGACTGACTGAAAATCTTCAAATTTTTCAATGAAAATGGTATAACATTATTAGTGGCCGTTGAGTCAATTCTGACTCATGGTGACCCCATCTGTGTCAGAGTAGAACTATATATAGGGTTTCTAATGGCTGTTTTTCAGAAGCAGAGTGCCAGCTCTTTCTTCCAAGGTGCCTCTGTGTGGACTTGAACCACCAACCTTTTGGTTAGCAGCAAATGCTTAACTGTTTTCAACACTCAGGGACTCTGGTATTAACAGTTGTTGTTTGGTGCCCTTGAGTCAGTTCCGACACTTAGTGACTCTATAAGACAGAGCAGAACTGTCCCACGATGTCCAAGGAGTGGCTGGTGGATTTGAACTGCCGACGTTTTTCGTCAGTAGCTGTAACTCGCTGTGGCTCTCAACCACTGCACCGCCAGGGCTCCCTGGTTTAACAGTAGGACCCCATTTTCTCCCTGCTCTCCGGTATTTGCAGTAACACACAAGTCTTAACTTCAAAAAATGGTGACTACTAAAATGCAACAGCAAGGGTACAGCACTACGTCACTGCTAACAGAGACTATGACTTGGTATGGGGCAAGTACCAGTATTTTAAAATCTCTTAAAAATTTACAAACTCTTAATCCTAGGGACTTCTAGGAGTCACTTAGTAACATAAGCAAATGGCATTTACATAGTTAAGAGCTCAGCTGCTAACCAAAAGGTTGGCAACTCGAATCCACCAACTGCTCGTTGGAAACCCTGTGGGGCAGTTTTACTGTCCTACAGGGTCGCTGTGAGTCGGAACCCGCTCGATGGCAACAGGGTTTTTTTTTTTGGTTGTTGTGTGCCGGTATTGTCGCTGTGTGCCCTCAGGTCTATTCCAACTCACAGCAACCCTGCTGGACACAGGAGAACTGACCCACAGGGTTTCTAAGGCTGTAATGTTTGCGGGAGCAGATCGCCAGGTCTTTTCTCCTGTGGAGTGGCTGGTGGGTTCAAACCACTGACCGTTCAGTTAGCAGCTGAGCACTTAACCACTGCACCACCAGGGCTCCTTTACATAGTATTACTAGTTACCAAATACTGTGCAAAGTCTATATCACGTCTCATTTAAATCTCACAACAGTCCTATGAGGTGGGTATTAATATTCTCATTTTTAATGAGGAAATAGAGTTCAAGCCTACTGCACATGGCTGAGATGTGACTCTGAACCTAGGTAAACCAAAAAGCTAAGATCTTAGGCACTATACTACCCAACATTGTTCCTCCGGAACAAATGTGGGAGACAAAAGATATGCATAAAGGTTTAACTACAAAAATAATTATTTAAAAATTCATAAAATTCTTAACATCAGCTAGCTATTATGCCACAATGCTGTCTCAAAGCCCTAACCTCCAGAAAGTAGTTCAATACACTGAATTTGCTCATAAAAGCTCTTCTTTGCCTACAATGAGTTCTTTAAGATTTCTAAGAATCACTCCTATAGATCCCATACAGACACTCTAATTTATTTAGATAGCTACAGCACTGCTCCCTTTTTAGCTTTAGAAAGCTCTCAATCTGCCATGTGGTTGAACACTAAGGATAACAGTAGTAAGTTACTATGCCATTAACATTTTTCTGATTTGCTTTCTCACAAGTCATTTTCAGCTGACCACTTTCAAAAGTTAACACAATATGCATACAGCATCTCAGAAGTATACATAAGAAAATGGTAATACTGGTGGCAGGGGTGGGAAGAGGGGGCTTTTTAAAAAGGTCTATGTCTTAATACATTACTGTTATATCTTATAGGGTCACTCTTAAAGTCACCAAGCTCGGTCTGGCTGTATTATACAAATTATATTAAATAACATTACTTAACGAGACCCACTATATGTCAAGCACCTGCTAGATGCTTTAAATTAAGTGCACAATATCTAACTCTCACAATAAACAAGATAGACATGATCTCCATTTCAAACAAGAAAATAAGCTCAGAGGTAGGTGACTTATTCAAGGCCTCAGAATCACGAAGTGGCAAAGCAATCTGGTTTCTGATTTTAGCAGATTTCCTAAATGGTTAAATTCATTAAGTGATTCTTATTTTACTGTCTCTCTCCATCTAACACTGGATTTCTTAAAACAACCCGTGACACTATGCATTCTTCTAATACCACTTCTCTACTTCCACCATAGACTTTCCTTCCTCCTCTCAATTATATATACAGATGCTCCATAAGTTTTAGTTCCTTGAACTCAACTGCTCTTCTTCACCTCTCCCTGGGTCATTCCATCTACTCTCAAGGTTTCAGTGACGCACGTTAAGACCTCCCTCCCCTAGGCTTCAATCCCCCATATAAACTCTGGATAAACTCAGTATGTATCCAAAACTAGTGCCAACAGTGGAAGTGTCAAATGGAAACTCCCTTTTGATTTCTCTCTCTCCTTTATCCGCTACTAACCACATTTCTAACGTTTTAACCAGTGTTAGGACACATAGTAACTACTTAAACATTTGGTGGATGAGCTGCTATAGTAGCACTACAGAAACACTAGAGTCAACCTTAATGCTTTCTTTGCCCTCATATCCAACATCCCATTTTATTTACCGTTTCTTAAATCTGTCCCCTTTCCATTCCAACAACTGCCCTCACTTAGAGACTCACTGCACGCGTCTCTTAGCTAGTTTCTATCCTCTATACAGCAGACTGCTGTTTAAAACAAAAGCTGCCATGCCATTTACCTGCTTAAAATCTTTCTCTACTTTTACATCACCATAGGATGAAATCCAAGCTTCTTAATATGGCATACAAGCCAGCCCAGTATTTCCAAACTCTATTTACCTCTCCAGTCACTGTATGACTTTAGTACTTTAGAACTTCACGTCCAGCCAATTGATCACACCATTTTAAGACCATTTTCCCCCCTTTCCTTTACTCTGGTGGAGGTACAAGGGAAAGAAAGGTTTTAGTCTGTAGTGGTTAAGAGCTATAGCTGCTAACCAAAAAGTTGGCAGTTTGAATCCACCAGCACTCCTTGGAAACCCTATGGGGTAGTTTTACCCGGTCCTATAGGGTCACTATGAGTCGGAATTGACGCGACGGCAACTGGTTTTTTTTTAATGCCTAGCCTGACAGTCTCATATTCTTACATGCTCCACTTATTCTTCAGGACAACTAGGTTATTTACCCATCCAGGACGCTTCCTTTATACAATCACATCACTATTGATGAATTTGCTACACTGTATTATTATCTACCTAATTAACTGTCTTCAAGCCAATCACCTTAAGGGATCGAACATTTTTTATATTAACAGCACCTGGCACCTGCATTGAACTTATTAAATGCTCAATAAATACTGGTTGAATGAAGACAGACAACTACTTTCCCCCCATCCCCATGACTCCAAAGCCTATGTTTTTTCCCTTATCAACCCCCCCAACCCCCGCCAATCATTCCAAAACATTAGAACATATTTAGTGCCTGCTGTACAGCACACAATTCAGCTTACAGGTGGCTACTAGCCCTTCCCCCACCAAGGTATAAATGCTAATGGCAGTTTGCTGCTTCTCTCAGACTGGAACTCTATTCTGTTCTATTTCCCATCATTTCATCCCTGGATTTCTTCTCTCTGTCCATGTATAGCTTACTAAATGCTTCTAATTGTTCTTTGTATAGTAAGTTTCCTCTTCTACAGATCTTCACTTTCTAGTGAAAGGCAGTCCACTGGAGCTTTTCTTGTTTCCATATGGAAAAATTATCTCAGGAATGTGTCAAGTAATTTTTCAAACGTTTTTCTGTTGATAGTTATTTGAGAGCTACATGTTTACAGCTGAGCTTCTTGTTCCAGACCAAAAAGCTAGATTCTGCAATCAAGGTTTACCGTGAAACAATGACGTGTACTTGTTTTCATAGAGATCACTGACAGTTTCATAAAGTACAAGACACATGAATGAGTTGCTGCATGTTTTAAAAGTTGTTGCACATGTTTTAAAATCATGGAACGTCAGCAGCAAAACAGCTCCAAGTACTGATTCTTCTGTTGTCAGTGTTCCAATCCCCTACCTCTTCGTAAGTTTTCTTTTAGAAATAAGTTATGCTGCAAAATCTACATAATACAAATCCCACTGCAGAAAAATTTAACCCCCTAGAAAATTCCATATACATAAATTAGTTTCAGGAAAATCCTAAATTCAGTAAAGCAGTTTCTAAACATGCACTGAGGAAATGAACAAGGATGGCTAATTAAATCGGGAGAGCTGGCACACCCGCCTACCTCTTCTTTTCAGTCTGGCTTTTGGGAGATGAATATCCAGAGCATTAGAGTACCATGTTCTTAAAGTACAAAACCAAACCCACCCCTGCATTTTAAAACCAAAGATTCATTTATCTGAGATCATCCAGATACCTGAAAGGCAACTTTTTCAGAAATACATTTTTTTTTTTTTACCCAAACAAGTAGAGAACCTTACTGTAACTCTAATTTTCCCTATATAAAAACTCTACACACAAGCAACGCAAAAATTAAAAGCAAATATTGAAGTGTCTTCTAAACAACAACCATACTGTAAGGACCGCACATAAATTTCCGACAAAGGAATAAGAGGCTTTGACTGGCATGGTGGTTACGCGGGACATCGTGTCAGAACTCACTTAAGGTTCGTGCACCTTGTTTTTAAATCTCAAAAGAAGAAAAAGGGGCGGGGGGGAAGCATGGATAAGTGCAAAAGGAGCAACCTCCCACACCTTCACCAACATCAATAAACTGAAGTAAAAAGTTGTTTCTGTGTGTACTCTTGGGCCACGGAAGTGTTTTATTCCAGTACATTAAGCCCTGCCCCGAACTTAAGCCTTTAATATAAGGATGCTGCTGGTCGGCAGGGACTCACGTCGGTTAACTGACTAGTACTTCCCTCCAGTGATTATCAATCGGGCCTGCAAACGGTCCCCGACTTCCTCGCCGACCAAGCTCCCCGACCTCACTCTGAGCCCCACCCCCTACTTCCTGCTCTCGCCGCCTCTCGCGCCAAAACCGCCTTCTCCACGAGAAACCCATCCTGCCCAAGGCCCGCGGTGTCGGTCCCCGCAAACTCGTGGGTCTCCCGGCACCGGGGCTTTCCGTGCCCCCAGGCGGCCTGCACCTCCCCGGGCCGCCCCGCGCCCCCCGGAGCCGCCCCCCGGCCAGCGCGCGCTCACATTTTTCGCTGTCGCTCGAACTCCGCTTTCTTCTCCTCCTCCTCGCGTTTCTGCTTCTCGTCCAGGCTGCTCCGCTTGCTCACCGTGCGCCCGAAGATGTCGATGCGGTCGGGCGGGGACGAGGCGCGCTCCCGTTCCCGCTCACGCCGAGACACGGCCGTGTTGGTGGAGCGCGAGCGGGACCGCGACTCCCGCCGCCGGTTCCGCTTACTTTCCCGGGATTTGGAACGCTTCCGCACTCGTTCCTTGTCCCGGGACCGCGATCGGGACCGGCTGCGCTTCTTGTTGTGTTTGCTGCTCTTGGTGTGTTTGGAGCGGGACGAACTCCGGCTCCGAGACCGGCCCATCCTTCCAGGCGACGCTGAGACTAACCGCTGGCTTCGGCCTTGAAATGCTCCCGGCTTCCCTCGCCTCAGCCTTCGAACCTGAGGGGACCGTTCTGTCGAAACCAGAGGAAGAGCTACCAGTCAGATGACTTTTTACCGTTGTTTTCGGTCGACAAACGCCACGAAGGCCGCCTCGAACGACAAGGCCGCAACGAAAGACTTCCCTAAAATGGCAGCTGGGGCCGCACCGGCTACCTTTCCCACAATGCCCAGCGAGAACGTGCCGTCGCGCGGGCCCCGCCCCCTGACGATTGTTGCCGAAGGCGCAGCGAGGATTTCCGAGTGCGTTCGGTTCTTTCCGCGTGTCCTGGCTGAAGTCTAAGATGCCATAACCAGAAACTCACGTGTTTGCTGTAGCATATTTTTGTTTTCTGGTAAAATTCATGTAGAGTGAATTCATCATGTTTTGGTGCAAGTTAAGTCATTCCGTGTTGTGAATTAAATTTTGCCTGGTTGCACAGTGGTTAAGAACTTGGCTGCTAACCACCACGTCGGTAGTTCGAATCCACCAGCTACTCTTTGGAAACCCTATGGGGCGGTTCTACTCTGTCCTATAGGGTCGCTGTGCTTCGGAATCGACCCCACAGCAGTGAGTTTGGTATGAATTGATTGCATTATTTTCTAGGAGCTGGCTTTGTCATACGGGCCTAAGTTGTATCGGAGTGACCCTGGGCAGATGACTTGCTTCTCTGAGCTTAGTCTCCTCGTTTGTAGAATGTAGATAACTAACTATACTTTTTAGAGTGGTTGTGAAACTTGCAGGAGGTATGTATTCAGCGGGTTTTGATAAACGAATGCTGATGCTTAATGCAGGGTTTAATGTGCCTGCCAGAGTACTGTATTAAATGTTCTGTGTTTATTAACTAGTATTTAATTCTACAACAATCCTCTGAGTTGAGTACTATTATTATCCTCATTTTAAAGTTAGGGACGCCCGAGGTCCAGAGAGGTTAAATAACTTGCCCAGGGTAACACAGCTAGTAAGTGGCACAGCAGGGATGTGTACTGAGGTGAACACATGACCAGTAAGCCCCCCTAAGCCCTAGCCAAAGAAAAGCAAGTTTCTAGATTTTACAACAAATTCTGTCACTGTGAAGCCCCAATTAGAAGAGGCAAAATTATTATTTGCAGATGATAGGAAACCTTGAAAGTCCTTGTGCCTAAATTTTAAAACAGCGTTCAAGATAGCTAGACAAATTAAAAAATTAGCAATTTTCCTTTGAATAAGCAATAACCTATTAAAAATGAAATAATAAAAAGATTTTCTCCACAATAGGAACAAAACCTATAAAGTATGTAGTAATAAATTTTAACAAGTTACAAAAAAATCTTTAGGATGAAATCCCTAAACGTTTGTTGAAAGGCAGAAACTAGACCTGAATAAAATGGAAAACACATACCATGTTTTTGAACGGGAAGTCAATTTCAAAATATATGCCAGTTCTTCCTAAGTCAATTTACAAAAATAACGCAATTCCCATCAGGATCCCAGATTCTCCTGGGGGTGTTTAGGTTAGAGCTGGCTACTTTTAAACCTTATATGAAGTAACACAGTTGTGAATTATCAAGAAAACCTTGAAAAGGAACAGTAGTAAGGGCTTGCTTGCCCTTATCAAAAATTAAACTAAAACAGACAGCACGATATTAGCACAAAAATTGGAAAATAATCAGATACATTCAAGTCGAACAGTAATTTAGTATTAAAGATAGTTCTCTTTTTTTTTAATTGGTGTATTCTTTTTCTAGGGCTGTGTGATAGTTTAGATTGTGTGTCAGCTTGGCTAGGCCATGCTTCTCAGTGGTTTGAGACTTATGATGTCGTTTGGCAGCTATATAATGATGCAATCACCTCTATAATGAGATCTGATATAATGTAATCACCTCCATGATAAGATCTGCTATGAATAGCCAATCAGTTAAAAGGGAGTTTACTTGGGAGTGTGGCCTGCATCCGATGTAGGTGGGCTTTCTGGCAAGGCTCACGGGCTTTTTTTGCTCCATCTGGATCTCACATCTGGCTACTGTTCATCTGACCTCTGGTTCGTGGGACTTGAGATAGCAGTTTACCTGCCAATCTGGGGATTCGTCAGCCTCCACGGCCTGTGAGCCAGCAGCCTGCCATTTTACCTGTAGATCTTGGGTTCATCAGTGCCTGCAGCTACTTGAGTCAGGAGAAGCCTCCAGCCTGACCCACAGATTTGGGACTTTCCAGCCTCTACAACCATTTCCTTGATATAAATCTCTTTATATATATATGTGTGTGTGTATATATATATATATATATATATATGCATATACACACTACACTACACTGGTTTTGCTTCTCCAGAGAACCCAGCCTAAGAGAGGCTGCCACAACAAATTACCACAGACTGGTGACTGAAAACAACAAATGAATTCACTCACAGTTCTGGAGGCCAGAAGTCCAAAATCAAGGGTTTGTTCCCTCTGAAACCTTTGAGGGAGAATCTGTTCTGAGCCTCTCTCTTAGCTTCTGGTAGTTGACGGCAATCCTTGGTTGGCTTGGCTTCTTATAAGGACAATAGTGATAGGATTTAGGGCCTAATCTAATCCAGTATGACCTCATCTGACCTTAATTATATCTGCAAAGACACTATTTCCAATCTAGGTCACATTCTGACTTTCCAGGTGCACAGGAATTTTGGGAGGAACAGTATTTAACCCACTACAGTTGGATTTTTTAAAATCTTTTATATTTTTCTGCATGTCATGAATTCTTTATAATGATTACAGATACTTTACAAAAAGAATAAAGGAATGTTTCCTTTACAAAGCACAAGAATATAACTCCACAATCTAATATCTAATAAGGGTAAGGCTTTAGTTTACTGGATAAAGAAAGGTTTATTTAATAAATGCTGTTGACATAATTAAAATAAAGACATTAAAAATAAAAGAGTTAATATTAGACCTCTGCATCATAACAGGAGCAAAAATAAATTTAAGATGGATTGAAATGTAAATACGTTAAAAACCATAAAGTATTTAATCTTTTTTAACGTAAATCATTAAAACTAAGAGACCATGAAACAATGGTTCTGCCACCTAGAGATTTATTTTCAATGCACAATCCTGGTTCCTACTTCCAGACGTATTACATACAGTGCTGGGATCCCAGAACCTCCATTTTTAACAAGCATCCCACATGATTTTGTTGTAGGTATTTCATCAGTGATACTTTGAGAAACACTGATGTAAATGAACAGGGTAACATGATACTTGTCTACATAAACAAAAAACAAGACTCTGGGAAAAATGTTTGCAATATTTAGCAAGCAAGGCATTTAATATCTCTGGTAGACAAAGAGCTCCTGCAAACTGATGAGAGAAAGCCAACTCAATATAAAAATGAGCAAAGAGTACAAACAGGCAATTTAGAGAATAAATACAACTAATTAAATCCAGGTGAAAGATTCTAAACCTCACTAGTAATTGAAAACGGTCAAAGGGCTAAAGGATAATTAATTTATGGTACATCCATAAATATAATACAATACAGATCTATATGCAGTGATCTGGAAATATGCCTTGGTATATTAACGGTCATTAGATGATAAAAGGAAGCTGTAGAACAGTGTGTAGGATGTAAGTGTATATGTGTGTTTATGTTTATCTGTGTAAATGATAGCTACGTATTTCTTCATAGAAGGGTCTAGGATTTGGGTATTTGTAGTTCAGTGGTAGAATTCTCAATTTCCACGCAAAAGACCTGTTTCCATTCCAGGCTAAGGCACCACATGCGCAGCCACCACCTGTCCCTCAGTGGAGGCTTTCATGTTGCTGTGATGCTGAACAGGTCAAGGAAGCTTCCAGACTAAGATGGACTAGGAAGAATGATCTACTTCCAAAAATCAGCCAGTGAAAGCCTTATGTATCACAATGGTCCAATCCCCAACTGATCATCCCCCAGCTGGTGCAGGACCGGACAGCACTTTGTCCATTGTGCGTGGGTTCGCCATGAGTCGGGCTAATTCAGCAGCAGCTAACAACAGTAAAGGGTTTAGGGAATAGACTAGAGTAATTGATTGTAAAACGGTAATCTGTTTTGTTTAGATTGCATATGTATTGGGATTGGCTTTAGGAGAATTTGTGGAGCTTTTAAGAGAAAATGGTATCAATCCCACTTAAGCCGTGTCTTTTCACTGCTGACTGAAAATCAAACCTGGAAAAAAGTACATCAAAATTCCTAAAATTAGGGTGAAGGGTGAGACAGTACACAATACAGGAGAAACTAGCACAACTTGTACAAGGAAAGGTCATGGAAGCCCCATAGACACATCCAA